TATTTAAGTTCAAGAGAGCCTGAAGTAAATAAGTTCCAAAGTACATTAAAATTATTATATATATCTTTGTTGATTCTGAAATATCAGCATGTTGTTTATAAGCATGTTTGTACTTTTTTCCAGTGCTTTCATAGTACAGTAGTTGAATAATAATGTTGTTAGGGCTTCAATTTCAACAGCCTTTAGGCAATCACTCAATTAATTAAGCAGTATTGAAATACTATATTAAACTCATTTGTCTCTCTATTTATAGTTGTGAACCTAAGGTGAGAGGTGATCATTAGAGTCAGACACAACAAGTGATGCTTTAGAGACATTCAGAAGAATGGAGGATGAACAAACTCAAAGTAGGAATGGATTACTATCAACAAATGTGATTGGGCCAGAATTATAGATAGTACTTGATTGTTTAGAAGTGTATTTACATTCTCTTTGGTTTGTCTTTAATCTCACTTAAGTGTGTTTTTATTCATGTACACAAGTTAACTACTTGTACATACATATATTTTATTTTTAGTAGATACATTTTGTAGATACATTACATAGATAACAACTAATTCTTGGATTCATAAATTAATCTTTGGGTACCAGATTGAAGGTAATTGAGAAACTCCATATAAACCTAATACTTGCCATTGTAGCAAATGACCAAATATTAAATAACAATGAGTTGTACAGTATGTGATTATTTGGAGTTTGCTTCCTAAATTATTTTGTTTCTCTAAAGGTGAATGAATGTACAGTGTAGTCTATTTAGTAGATACATTTTGTAGATACATTACATAGATAACAACTAATTCTTGGATTCATAAATTAATCTTTGGGTACCAGATTGAAGTAAATTGAGAAACTCCATATAAACCTAATACTTGCCATTGTAGCAAATGACCAAATATTAAATAACAATGAGTTGTACAGTATGTGATTATTTGGAGTTTGCTTCCTAAATTATTTTGTTACTCTAAAGGTGAATGAATGTACAGTGTAATGTTACAGCATTGGTTTGCTAGTGATTGAAAAAAACTGTATTATACTTCTTTTATCTGTACATAGATTCTCTTTTCCAATTTATATTTATATAGTGCATATGAGTGCAACAAAATATTATACTTCTTTTATCTGTACATAGATTCTCTTTTCCAATTCATATTTATATAGTGCATATGAGTGCAACAAAATTGTATTAACAATAGTACAGTATGAAAAAGTGTTCAACAAAAAAGAACCCCCAGGCACCTAAACAAAATTATCCTATTATTTTTTCAATCTGTACATAGATTCTCTTTTCCAATTCATATTTATATAGTGCATATGAGTGCAACAAAATTATATTAACAGTAGTAGAGTATGAAAAATTGTTCAACAAAAAAGAACTCCCAAACACCTAAACAAAATTATCCTACTTCATAAAGTAAGCATGGATGTCTGTTTACTCTGAGGAGCTCATCCAATCTTTATAATAATATCCACCTTCCCATGTAGCAGCTGCTAAAAATAACCAAATGTGGTTGCCAGTATAGTTGTTGGCAGCCTGACCAGATGCAGTTTGACTACTGTAGTACCCTCAATATTGACTACTCAACATACTGTAGAATATTAACTATTCTAACTGTCCTAGAATTAAAGACAGACACATCCCGATATATCTCTATTAATAATTAACTACATCTGTACTTGTCCTTAGTAGCTCCGCATACACACTGTACTCTATAATTGTATAATATTTTTTACTGAGAAATAGGGTACCTTTCCTGCGAACTAATGTTACTGCTTTGTTTTACACAGAAGGATTAAATAACGAGGTATGTGTAAAACTGAAACTGTGGCTAAACTATACAGAGCCTAGTAAAAAATAATAATTAGGGCTCCCCTTTTAATATGACCTCTCATCTTCCTTTGTCCCTAGTGGGCTAGTTTTAACTTCTCTTCCGATACCAATCACAATTTAAAAATGTATTTGCAGTGATTGGCCCACAGTAACACGGGAGGTATTTTCAGTAATACTTAAAGTAAAGTGAATTCAAAACAGCCGTAGATTAGTTGTTGAGGAATGCTTTCTACTGTAGGTTGTTCCACTTTATTCCATATTTTGGTTTACACACTAGCTGCCACAGGGGGTTCTGTTCTCTCGGCTACAGTAATTCCAATGCGAGTTATCCCATAGGAAATTTTGTACAAATTTCAATAAGGAATATAAGGGAAAAATATATATTTACTTCCATTCATGCAGTATTGCTGACCTCACAGAGAAGCTAGTAGGTCTAATATTCATTTTTTTTTAATGGTATTGGTAAGCGCATACTACATGGTCTCTATGCGCTATAAGTTACACAAAAGAAACAAACCAAAAACTAAATCCTAAATTCTAACCCAGCGACTATTTCTAGTGTGCATTTTGTTACACAATAAATCAGTGTTGTGGAAAGTTGGATCATTAAAACGTTGGGAGAGGAACAAGGTTTTCAATTATTTATATAGATCCTTTGGGAAAACGTATAAATTAGTTCAATACTGTACTTGCTTGTTTGTACTGTGGCAGCATGGTAGGAGGTATACGTTTTCCTTGTAATTATTCAAGTTTAATGATCATGTACGTCAATCAACTGAAAATGCCTGTTATTGTCATGTTAAAACATGTGTTTTTTAAATGATTTTAACTTGTGGTTTTTTCACACCTACTGTGCCTGTCCACCATAAAAAAAAATCCCAAAGCTTAAATAACTCGTCTACCAGCTACTTTAAAACTGATTTTCGTTCAGTTGTTTCCTTTTAACATCTAGTAGGAAATTAATGGGCTACATACTGTACATACAGAAAGTTAGTTCTGGTGCATAATTTATAGTAATAAAAAAGACAAGGTTTGTATGAACCAAATAATAATGCTGTAACTCACAATTCCTAAAGGTACAGTGTTGCTAAAAAGTAAGAAATGGTAAATTTAATATTCAACAGAATTATGAGAGCAAGGTTGAAAGATGCAGAATTTTTAGACCACATTTATATTTGTCATGTAGTCATATCTATACTGTATACCCCAGGGTACATATTGAAGTATTGTATTTACAGTAATGCATATTAGATTGTAGAAGTTAATAGGGAACTATGGGGCTGTTGTATAGAAAAAGTATTTGGGAAAAAATGTTTGCACCCACCTCAGGACCTCATTAAGAAACTGAATATTGCTGACCCAAGTAAAAGAGTTAATACAGAACCAGAGTTTTCTAAATTTAGAATTTCTAACTTTATGTGTATGAACTCACTCTGCTCTTTGGTTTTAAAACTAAACCTACATCTTCTTAGGTATGATAAATATGGTAGCATTTCTGTTCACCTACTGTAATTTCATATATTTACTGAAGCTTAGTAAATGAGTTAGTGTGAACAATTATATTATAGTGTGTTTATTCATAGTAACCAGCTATTCCTTTGACTCCTTTATAATTGATTGCATGGTAGCATTTTGGGGCTGATAGAAAAAAGTTAGATTATCACTCTTTATCAAAGAAAGAATTAAAATTTTGAATAGCTACAAGATGACATTTTTCTCAACACAAACACAAGCGTTTTGTTTGTAGGAAGTACTTGTTTACTGCAAGTCTGTTGTGTAGTTTCAATGCACTCTCTGCAAGTTCACTCTTGCTTTGTTGTCGCATCTGAATGATACAATAATCTTGTACGAGAACTTGAATATGTGCCATTCATCAATCGACCATGCATTAGCAAATGTAATATTACCATGTCAAAATTTTTTAACACCTTGGAATGATAATTTATAAAGTTTTTCCATGTTCTCTTAAGCCGGGCACTCCACTGCGTCATACAACAGTCGTACAACAAATCTAAATCCGCTCCCTGCGAGCGCTAGACGACGTGATACCGTTTGCTGATTGTCAGTGCCAGTCTGAATGGATCGCCATTTAAAACGATTTGTTGCGCGCGTCGTCGTCACATCAGGCGGCAAACGTCGGATGCAGTGAGTACCCGGCTTTATTAACCATACTTATACTATGGAGGTGAAAAAAAATCATAGAGAGCCACCATGATTAACCATCCCTCTTGTGTATGTGTATGATTTATTCATTCTATGTTAGCACATAATATGCTAAAACCACTTAAGCTATCAACTAAATCATTAGCATCATGGTGGATTTTGTTGTGTTTTACCCAGACTTTATGTCTGCATTTAAAATCCTGTCAAAGTAAAACTCCCCTCCATTGTACAGGTGTAGTAACAATGTTCATGGTTTTGTAAGTTCCCAACTAAGTTTTCGTCATTTTGATTATTTATAATCCCTGGAGGAAGGAATTCAGTTCTTGATGATGTGGTGACCTGCATTCTCTCTATAAGTTTATACATTGTATATTGGTTACCAAGCACTTAAATTGGTTACACTGCCACTTAAGTTCTTGCTGCATTAGGCCCCATAAAAAAACAGTTAAATTATCACCTACACATTTTGCAGTTGTGTTGAAATAAATAAAACTTGTACAGTGATACAGTACACTGCTAATGCTCCAACAATTTGAAATAGAGGGTTCCAGGGAAAGAATATTACAAATGGAAGATCCAGACCACCCTGCCCCACAAAATTTGTTTTGAGTAAAATAAAAACATGTATTTCAAGTGTGATAATCTAAACAACTTTGTGTGGCCTTATTGCATTAAGGTAGAGCTGAAAATTTTCTCCGGCATTGATTTAAAATAGAAGCATAGTTTCTGATGAAAACCTTTTGTTTTATTGAATATAAACATTGTATATCACATATATAAGTTATAAAAAATTATTGTACTGTACATAATAAAAGAGATGGCTATGAATATACAATTTTGTTTTTTATCAATTTATAATACTGACTCAATACATTTTAGAAATTAAATACCACAAACATACTAACATACTGTATCAGCATTTTTTAAACTTAGGCAAGACTTTTTTTATACCTTGTTTTTGGCAAACTTGTTTTTAAAGATCATCAGAGAAGGGCAGCAAAAAAATTTTATTTTGTTTTCTTATTTAGCAAATAGTTTGGCCAAAACATCCAGATAGAGGAAAAAATAAAATTTTATTGGCGAATGTAAACGGTGTAGTAAGGCGCAATAAAAATAAAGACAAACTCTTTTTTTTTTTTTTTCTGAAATTTCCATTTTTCCGTGGCAGCGGGTGCGTTAATTGGCAAAATATAAAACAGTGTGGTAAGGCAGCGGTAGGCGCAATAAAATTAAACACAAACTCTTTTTTTTTTTTTCTGAAATTTCCATTTTTCCGTGGCAGCGGGTGCGTTAATTGGCAAAATATAAAACAGTGTAGTAAGGCAGCGGTAGGTGCAATAAAAATAAAGACAAACTCTTTTTTTTTTTTCTGAAATTTCTATTTTTCCGTGGAAGCGGGTGCGTTAATTGGCAAAAAATAAAATTTTATTTTTATTTGAAATCATCATATTGGCGGGTGGCGGGTTCGCTAACAAGGTATAAAAAAAAGTCTCCCCTTATTTAAGTACATTATTGTTACTGATTTGTAAACCGTAAATCTTTAGTATTACATACTCTGTGTTTATATACCTTTGAGGACAGTGATAACAAGATTACTGTATTATTGTTTAGTCTTTTTCATATTGAATTAAAATTGCTTAATTTGTAGCTCGTATACGTTTCAATTATAATAGCTATCGAAAAATTAGAACTAAATATTTTTTTAACAAATTAACAAATTGTATTGAAACTATACTCCATGCATAGACCCTTAGATTGACTGCCAATCAATTTTACAGATACTGTTTAAAAATACAGTGTAAAGTAACTTGTAAACAGTGGTTGCATTAGCATACACTTATTAGCGGAAAACTGTCGGGAGAGGAATCTCGCACAATAGAAACTCATAGTTACCAACTTGAGAGATTTGAAATGCGCAAGTGTGACTACCCCAGCTGCAGGGAGGGAGGCGACAGGGACCCCGCAGGCGGCCAGGGGCGGATGATCTGAGCATTTTTAAGCTGTTTTATAATTATTTCAATGAGTGTTTGTTGACAATACCGGGTGCATTAACAAAAATGTTATGTACACAAAAATTTCATTAAACAAACCAGAAATGAATAGGCATACTGATCAATTTATAGTGATATGTCAGTGTACGTTGTTATATTTTTAATAAAACCAAATTTTTCTAATTTTAAATACATTTTTCCCTGAATTCGTGATAATTCATTATCATGCATAGACTTGTGCTAAATGTGTGACAAATTTATGATCACATGTGTTTCCACAAAATGTGTTTCATCCAAATCACTTTTAAATGTGAGACCATTCCGCACGATGCAAGATGGGCCATTTTAATAAGTTTTAAGCCCAAAGAATTAATATTCTGACTTGTAGCCAATGAGAAGTTTAATCCATGGTGCTGCCATTGCCTCTATTATACACAGAATAGTTGCATCTGTTTAAAAAATTCATATAGGCTACATGATGAGTGAAATAATAAAAATAAAAACCACTTTGTAAATAGTAATTTAAAGGCTTCTTTCATGGAAGCACACAGATTGAATTAAGGCATATTTCACAGATGAGTAAACATTTTATTCATTTTAAGCAGCTGGTAGCAATAAATGCCTTTGTATTGTTCAGTTTGTAATTACTCATCACTATTGCAGCCCATCTCCTACTAAGTTCTGTACTACAGTATAATACTGTACATTATCAGACTGCTTGAAGTCCCAGATTTAGCGACGGATTTAGAGGGAGGGGGTATGGCCGGGCCGGGCACCCCCCCCCCCCTTTTTTTTGGAAAGTTCCCAAAATTCCTCGGAGGTTGTGTTTGGGTGTCTAGAAAACAAAAAATTTGCCGGGAAAATTGTCCTGGACCCCTTAGGGTAATGTTGTCTTGATCGGCCCCACTTTCGGTGAGCCTTTCAGCCCTCCTTTCAGACTTCCCTGTTGTACTGTACTATGCTGTTTCTCAAAAATCCCAATTTCCTTTAAATTGTAATTTAATACCCCTTTCCAAATTGAAATGAACTATTATCAGTGGATAAATAGCAATATTTTACAATGTAAGCCAAAATAAGCTCCGATAAAGGGGATTCGATTTCTAAAAAATGAAAGTGCAGACTTTTGGCCGTGTATGAACTTCTGTGTGTTGCATACAGGACCCAAAACTAAGGGAATTTTGTAATGAATATCCTCCCACCATCTTCATCCCATCACCAGGTTTCTAAAACCCCTTTTTTGAGTGATGCTCCCTTCCCCTTCGAATAAAACGAACTGCACACTTCCATCAAAATTATGAAATGCATCTACTGTATATACTACAGTACTATCAGAGACATCAACATTGAACTTAGTAAAATCCAAAAAAAAAAAACTTCATCATTTTCTCCTGCATCAATTTCCTAGCTGAACATCCAGAAAACCTTTAATAAATCTAATCATCTTCATCATAAGGTGAATATGCTGTGGTTGCCTAGGAATAGGTTATGACCAGTAGCTCATGTCATTACTGTATCCCTATAAAAAAGAAATCTATAGGAGAAACAGTTTTTTTTTTTGGCCTATCAACACTTTATAACAACTGCTTACTATACATGTGCCATCAAATAACTTTGATGTTAGTAATGAGCTACAGTATTAACAATACCATGAGGACAGAAACAGAAACCAGAAGAATGTGCAATGGGCTTATTGAAAGATCAAGTGTTCAAAGTCTGAGGTAACAACTTGTATCTTTGTACAGTACTGTGCGCATTTCTCCACCCATGAACACCCAGGTGATATGTTTGAATATCCTGCCATTAACATACCCTGTGTTCCATTTTTATTCTTTCCTAAGTACAGTATAAATGTTGTTCAAATATGTTTTTATTCATTATAAATATTGTTAACTGAATGCACACTTAATGTTTTGTTAGGTCAGTTGATTGAATGAATGTGGCAATTATTGTAATCATAGGAAATAGCTTCAAGATGGAAATTTGCTGTAGAATTTGACAGCAATAAACAGACTGCAGTCTTAAATGCAATTATGAGGATTAATTATTAATTGAAATATATAGCATATAGACTTGGTAATAATATACTCTACAGTAGGCTAAAATAATACAAGGTCAAATGTACTTTTTATTACCATTATTAATAATTACAATATATAATTTCAAAATGTAGAAGTAATAATGGAACATATATTTTAATACTAAATTTATTTACAACACCTGCCAATAAATAGCGAGACGATTGCTTGGAAATCACTTCAGATTTTACTGTTGCTGCTTTAGTATCTCACCCTGTAGTTCAAAAACGAAGAGCAAAAATATTTGTCTTATCTTTTGCCACACAATCTAGCATGACTTAATTTTACTTTCCCAATTTTCCTAGGGACTTAGAACCCCATCCTACCCCCACCTCTGTGACCCATTTAGAAAAATTGTTTCAGCTATTCTGTGACTTTTAAATTTGTAGAACAGCTGTCCATTTCGTTTGAAATTAGGCCTTTTACGCAAGCTACTTATTAGGAAACATGGAATAAACAAACTTTTATCGCCTCCACGATAATATGAAGCTGTAATAATAATCTGTGGTGCACATTTTATAAGCTTACTGTTACTGCGACCCTGAGGCAAACACTGATTGCATTTCAAGATGAGGTCTACATTAAGATTAAATGGTGAACTTGTATTTGATATTAAGTAGGTAATCCAAATAATTCTATAAATCCTGTTTTCCTGTTATTACTGTACTCTCAAGAATATAAAATCTCAATGTAAAATAATAATTGACACTTTGGCTCCAAAGGCTGTGACCAGGCCTTGTGCCATGCCAATTTCCACCTTCCCCAACTTTTCCCTCAAATCTCTGTACACTGATAGTGTACTGTAGCTATAGTATAAATACAATATAAAACTGGCATAACAAATAGCAATAAATAATAAAGCTATACATTAATCGTAAAGTATACACATAAAAATATGACTTCTTGCAATATAATGCATACAGATAAGCTTTCTTCTAAGCTTAATATCACTATAAAATTTGAAAACAATACTGTATTAATTGGTTTCATAGCAAAACTATGAGTTGTGATTTTAAATACAAATATAAAATATATCAGATGGTATGTTTATAGACATATTTTAAAGCTAGCGCATAGAAGCAGTACTTTATCATAATTACATACCCCTATACTGTCTAGAGATTAGAAAATGTCAGGTAGGCCTAAAAAATAATAATTTTATAAGCACTGCTCTTGAATAACCACCTTTCTTGAATAAGCACTACATTAAAGCCTCCAAAAATGTGAGCGCTGCAATGCTTAGTAGGTCTATTAAAGTACTACAAGTAGCATACAGCATGTGGACATGATGGATAACGTAGCTTAGTAGAATAATAAGCACGGAAAATGTTGGTGCACTATTTCTACACACACACATGCTAATGCATGTCAAAATTTCCCTCTTACCGATATGGACCATTCATACCAACCAAATATTGCTATAATATTGCCATAATATACAACACCTATCTGTATGAATGTATCATGCACACTGAGAGAGCCATATCGTTTTAGTCATCGCGGACTGAGGGTGTTTACTTTATAAGGAGTAATATTGTGGGAATGCTTACCTGCTTTTGTTTCAGACACACTAAAAAATGCACTGTAACAGGAATATTGCAGTAATATTAGTAACCCCAATATTACAGCTGCGGTTAGTTCTGACCTTTTCATACAGAAGGCATTGTTGGAAATATTACAGCAATATTGTAGTTATGTAGCTCTGTCACTTCAAAAAATTCCTATTTCAAAAGCATGGAGCTCAAAGTATCCATAGCATGACTTAATTATCATTAGCCTTGTGTTTGCAAATATCAATCAACAAAATCTCCAAAAGATTTTCCACTGTAGTTAAATTTATCATGTGTCATAAAAGTTGTCAATACTCCATGAATAACCTGCCATACTAATAACTCCATGGGATAACATCACCATGGCAACTGGCATTCATGGTTTTTGATCTGGCTGAACTATTAAATTAAGATGTCATAAAAACAGATGCAGTTTGTTGGGAAAACAATTTTCAACTTAAATAATACCTGGCACAGAATAATAATAATGATAATTCTTTGCATCTTGAAGTACTTTTGAATATTACAAATGATGACGATGAAACAGAAAAATTACTGAACAGGTACAGTATTGGGAAAATTTTGATTTATGAATTTGGTCAATCCCTTGATTTTCTATGGTTCAGTCTTCCAGTAAACAGCATAAGATTCTCTGTATAGGCTACTGTTAAGTTAATTGAAATAACAAATTATTTACTGAAAAAGAAAATGTTTGCATTGTATAAACCCCCCACCCCCTTCAAATATAAAAACATTTCAGGTCTTAAGAATGATCAATTAATCAACAAGGATTTATATAATATTATACTGCAATATCATGCAGACTCCAAAAAGATTAAGCAAAGCCATAATTCAATATTTTGTTCTTTATTCGAACATCATGATGTGCGAATAAAGAACGAAATGTTGAATCATGGCTTCTCTTAGTCTTTTTGGAGTCTGTATGATATAAATATAATCAGTGGACCACTTGGTTTAAGGATTTATATAGCGCCAATATCCACGGCAGAATGCAATGTTCAGCTTCGCTATGGCAATGGAAGTACTCAAAGATATACTGTCTGGTAAAATCAGGGTGGAAAACACTTTTAAAATTTAATAATTACTCATAAGCTCATAATTGAGAAACTATAAACATTTTAATTTTTAGCTGATTTCAAACTGCCATTAAAATTGATTACCAACCAAAATGGTTTTTACATTTTCGTGTCTGAATATTGCCAGTAATTTACTTAAAAAACAGGATGTAAAGCTCTGTCCATACTATCAAATTTTCTTTCACAAAAAACTGTTGTATGCCCATATATAGTCATGATGTGCCTATATATGGGATGTCATCATGACCATATTTAGGCATGTCACATGTTTTTGTCAAATAAAATGTGATAGTCTGGACAGGGCTTAATTCAAATATTGATTTTTTTTTTAGCTCAACACAGATACCATTATAGGGAGCTTTTGATTTGTTCGACAACGCAACGCGAGAACAGAATCAGTCATGCATAACTATCCTACCACCAGGCATCCTACGTTCTCTGCATTGTAGTTTTGGCCAAATTGTGTCCTAGAATACACGCGACAAGGAGAATTTAACGTTCTCGCAGAATTTAATGTTCTCGCATGTGCAGAAGACTTAGTGACGTCATTACATTATACGTCCTACTGTCTTTATTTATTGTCATTATTGAAACTTTATACCTCCTGACTCTATACCTTGCAATGACTGCTATCAATGTTAATTTTCATAGCAAATTCATGATCAGTTATTAACATTTTTACAAATTACTTTCATAATATTTCTTTTTATATCGCCTCTTGTTTCTTGGATCTTCCTCAAAGTCTAACGAGTTCCTTTGCAAAGCACTGCCATTGGTGCGAACGTTATGCTCCCCCACCTGTGCAGCCGGATTATCATAAGCAGGCGGCGAATTGTACGGTGGCGGAGTGTTTCCTACTAAAGTCCTTCGACTGCTGTCCCCTACAGTAGTTTCAACTGTAATATCCATAGCGTTAATGTCTGAATCTATCTCAAACGTATCAACATCCAAATGCTCCAAAACTACAGCAGATGACGATGTACCATACTTACGGAATCCAGTCAGCTCAACAGAGTTTCTATTATTTGACGATTCCGTGCTTGCCATACGCTTGTATTCCAAATCTTGATGCGCCGTGAGCGTCCCAAACATTTCCTCTTCGTCCCGAGCATTCTTCTTTTGTCTGTGGTTCATTATGATTTCAGGCATTATAGCATCAATGTTCCGTAGCTGCTCTTTGGTCCTGTCTACCAGGAACCATAAGATTAATACTACCAATCCGATTAAGATCCCAGAAACTGAGAGGCAAGCATAAATAACATATTCCTGGTGTGTGTTATGTCCAGGATCATCTTTAGGGAGTGCATTGGCCCTGTCATTGGTCTGAGAATGGACTCCAATTGTTGACAATGACAATAAAAGGAGCAAACCTCTGACTGACTTTTCCATTGTAAAATGCATTTTATATTTTCTTTATCACTCACTCACAATACCGCATCCAAGAAAACTTGTATAATTCTGTAAGAGAGAATGCAAAATAAGTATAGTAAGCCTAATTAGTTTATTTTATTTATTTTTTAATTTTATTTTATTTCGTATTAACCAACAGCGATAACAACCGCCACTGACAGGTTAAAATACATATAAAATTTTTAAGTGTATAGTGTATATATTAGTGTGTATATACTGTAACTGGATACATGTAAAGATACTGTATAAACTCTACTAGACTACCTTACATTAATGCAGAAATAAATATATATTGTAATTGGCAAAAAAGAGCAATTTGTGAGAATGAAAGAAGTTGCCCGGAAGCAGGATTCAAATCCAGGTCACAAAATAATTGGATCCCATTTGAAATGCATATTTGGAAAGCGAAAACTAAAAACTATATGCTCCTGCAAACTAAAAAGAAAATACCATATAATTTTAAGACTGCAACAACAGACTGCTATATACTATTATTTCCTTTACAAACTGATACCAAATTCAACCACCAACTAAGCAGGAAATATAGCACTTCATACAGGAAAGCAAGTATATAACACTGGGTCATAAAAGCGCAAAAACAGACTGTTGGTAAACGACAATACTGTATGTAAAAAATAAAAACAAAAATAGCCTTATTCAGTGGTGACTGCAGAATTACTGAAATAAGAAGGGCACCAGTTTTATATGTTCATATACAATAAGTAAGTATCCAATAATGATAACAGGCGATTTGTGTTGCTGTTACAAAATATTGCAACATTATAGTATTTGTATGCTATTTTGTATTTTTCTATTAAAAATAAGACATCAGTGGCGAAACCGTTATTTGGCATTGGTCTTTATTGTCAAGCCCGTCTCATGTTGTACTCATCTGACATAATTCTTGCGTACAGTGATCAGCATAAAATTTGGATTTGAAAAAAACAACCACAATTGATTAATTAATTCATGATATATTTTATTTGAATTCATCAAAATAAAATTGATAAAAGTATGTAAAATTGCCACAGCTATAGTTTTTATTTAAAAGTTACTAAAAAGCACATAGGCCTATTAGAAATATGTTACATAAGTTTTATGATATGGGATAAAAATACAAAAACAGCAAACATTTATAATTATTGTAATTAAAAAAAACATGAATGATTTAATCTTATTTATGAATATACAGCAGATAGCACAAAATTAAAAATTATAAAACTTAAATAAAATCAATCAATCATTAATAAAATTAATTCCATTATTGATTGTTGAATGAGTTGTTAGAAAAGACAAATTCAGTTTAAACCAAAAATAGGCCTACGTACAACACACCCACAAATTAGTCCAGGCTCATTTAAGGACGGGAAACCAAGAACCGTTTGAGCCACCGGCCATGTCTCTTGGCAGGCTCATTGCTATTCGTGCTATCCGTTACCAGGGAGTTGGTACCTACACCTACCGCACCCACCTCCACAATTCCAGCACGCTTCACCATCATCCAAGCATCCTTCGCCATTCATCCCACAACATCGTCAATAACATGATAAAACTACCTAAGTCAATCTAACAAGTACAGACATAGCAACTTTTACAAACTTACAGTTAACTCCGTTCAGCATCCTAAGTATGTCTTTCCCTCCAAATGTCGCAAATTTAAGTGTTTTCTTCCGCATTGATGCACGCTGTCAACATTCCGATCCAATCTTATTTGGCAGCATCGATGTGCAATGAAGCATGTCTAGTTTACAAAGTGCTCAACACTTAAGCTCAAATTTCGTGGATTTTGGTTTGAACGCCGTTCAAGGTTGCTTTGCTGTACCTCAAAAATCAAAAAGTGGAAAAGTCAAGTGAATTATACAAAAGCAAATTATTATTCTCTTTTCTTTTCATGTGAGAAAAATGCAAATTCGTATTTATAGGGTATTATATTTTTTCTTAGTTTCCTTTTTGGTCACGGGGGTATAAACATAATATCCACGTCTTATACAACGGTTTAATTAAAACAAATATACATTTTATAGGCCTACCTCAGAAAAGTACAATACAAACTCATTTTGACATGCCCTTTATCAAAGTAATATTGAGGGCGCACGTTCATTTATTATAATCATCATTGTTTGGTACCCCAATCGACCATCAATCACCTCACTCTCCGCCCAAGGATCTACCTGTAAGTGTGGACCTACAGTTTTATCAAGTAATAATCAGTTGGTAGCACATTAATGACAAGCTGCATTCACGTCGGATCCGAACCGAAATTCAGACTTGTTCAGACCATGCTTATACGACCGCGTTTCCAATGCGCTGATGACATTCTTTCAAGGCCTAACATGTCAGGTTTTGATCGTTCGGTAGGCCTTACGAATATGAATGTATAGGATATACATAATAATAATAATAATAATAATAATAATAATGTATGATAATGTATGTATGTGTGTGTATGTATACCTGTATTTTGATATTTATGAAACTAACTTCGGCTAATAACAAATTGTGTCCGAAGGAGCACTCTTGACGAAAAGAGGGGGAATCAAATACTGTAGTGTGCGGTTACCCACCCATTAGGTGCTGGTACCGTACCTTCGTTCTTTGTTTTTTGTTTGTTTTTTTTTTTTTAACTTAATTTACATGTTCCCCTAGTCGTCATACAAATTCTGAAATTTGTTATCATCTTTGTGAAATATTGCAAGCCCTATCGGTAGATTTCGTCCCCGGTTTTAAATCGTGATTGCATCAAATTAAGACCTTTTATGCCCAGAATAACATTTTATGCCCAGAATCGAGTCTCACTTGGCTGGGGGCCAGGGAGCCGCCTAGGGCCACGGATATTTGATGAATTATGGCGAATTTTTATTACTTATTTGATAGGCATCGAGTTACTATAATATGACTTCATGTAGGCTATGCTTTCTAATGTTGACATCAGCTTCCAAAACCAAAACATTTTGAATAAAGCAAGAAACAAAGCAATGTAACCATCTAATTTATTTTCAAATCCTCATTCTTGAAAGTTAAATTCTATATTTTGGAAATTTTGCATGAAATCTGTCAACCACGTTGTCACGAGGTTGCTTCACCTATCACGATGTATTCCAACCATATC